CCCCAAAACCCCAAAACCCCTTCTGAGTTAATTTACATATGGCGAGAAATTCGTAATATTATTATTTATAGCATTTTCTGAATACTTATTGTTTAACACATTTTGAATCAGAATTGCCAAAGAGAGATAACTGATCTTTGCAATCGTCACCATCTCTATAATAAATCAATAATTAACCTGTATCTTTCAAGGCTTAGCAATAGGAGTTTCAGAGTCCTCCTTCTTTCTCTCTAAGATGATTCTGAATTCATGGAAGCTCAATCCATATTTAAGATAGATTTAGTCCTCAAGCTTCAAGCTCTACTCTTCAATATAGTTGATATGCTTGTCTGAATTCACAGTATCTGGGTTGTCAATAACTTATTAGTTTGCGTAGCTTAGTTTTTCTGAGTAGAAGTTATATGCTTCATTCTAAGCATCAATTGTGAGTTCTCCCGTTTTCTTAGATCTTTGACTTACAAGTCTTTTGTCTTATCTCTTGCGGACCTCCTCGTTCATGTGATCAAACAACTGCTATCTGCTCTCATAAGTCTCATGAGAGTTTTGAATGACTGCCTCATCGTGAATTTCTAAAGAGTCCTTTGCAAGAGTCATGAGACTTTCTTGCACTCTAACCTGATACAGACATATCTCGAATATCATTTTATCATATTCCTCGGTGTCGCCTTTCTGGAGTAACTCTATTCTCTTTTCAAAATCAAGTTCATTCTTCTTGTCAGTCAGATCTGTAACATAGGCATTGATTAGAGCCATAATAGATTTATATGAGTCAAAGTCAAGGACCTGTTGCTGAGATAGCACTTCTTTGTGGAGTTTCATCTTATTCACAGCTGTAGAAAGTTCGTACTTGAATTTTCTTCTCTTTTCTTGTGGAAGGATGGCTATATAGGCCAATTATTAAGGTTCAATCATTTTGATATCAAGTAGATATGATACTTACCACCATCTTCAACTGGATACTCTCTATTTGCACAGCAACCTTGTCCCATTTACTATACAGGTATATTAAAGCGAAATTAAAATCGATTTTATTATAGTTTTCATGTTATATCTATATTTTCATTCTCAGGGGTTTTGGGGTTTTGGGGTTTTGGGGTTTTCTTGGTTAGTATAAAATTTAGAGT